TTCCGTATTGAAAATGTGAGGTTTACTGTTGCTGGGCGAGATAGAAGATCCATCTCTGTCATTTCCATAATTTTTTTCACCAATAGTTCCTGCATCTTTTCCAGATATGAAATCTGGTCTTGGAGCGTCGTCTTTTTCTTGGGAGGACGACTTATATAGTACGTCCAAAGCAGGGCTAAGACGTCCCAAATTGTGATTATAGGAATTGGACGAGTAAAGGGAGGTGTCATCAGCTTGCACGTGGTGCCATATGAAGGGAAAATTTGGTCTTACCTACATAAAACATGTTTTATTATATTTATTCAAAAGGGTACTTGCTTTCCTTTCCCATCTTTAAAATTCACCTGAAAGGTTCTACGAAATCCGTTATTATCTGTCTCATCCATGGTTCGTTTTAAATTGTTTAACCAAGTGTATGGACTTTACGAATAATTTTAGAAATCAAAATAATAAAAAGTTTACTTTTTTCGGACGTTTGCCATATAAACCTTGGGAAAGACAAACCGTGTAACATATAACCATATGGCTATTTGCTATTTCTGGATCATATAATTTACTTTCATAATACTAAGCAAAAATTCAAATCGATCATGTGGTCGATATTATCTAATTTGCGAACTTGACACGTCGAACCTAATCTGTGACATATATTGAGTGACAAATGGATCAAAAAACAAATCAATGACAGATTCCGAAAATTCCTTTTTCATATGATTATTACTTCAAAGGACAGCTATTAATTTGGAATGCTCAAGATGGTCAAATTTGGCTTGCGTCATCTATTTATAAATTTATAATTGTTCCAAATAGTTGATTAAATAAAACGCTATGTATAAACAACATATTATACACGAATAAAATTTTTTTTTTTTAAAGAAATTATCCTAAAAGGGCATTCTCGAACGAACAGATTTGTAAATTTGTAGAAAATTGTGGCAAGCATTTTGACGACGCAATAGAAAGAAGAAATGCCCATACATCCTATAAATTATAGGTTTATGCAATATACCAATATAGGATATTTCAATTTTTTTTAAAAATAGATTTATTAAGTCTACCTTAGTGAAAGATATACTAGAAGTAACAATTTTTCTTTAGTTGGAAGTTGAAATATTCCGATTATTTATAATGGCGGGAGTGTAACTTTGGGTTTAATCTCTTGCTAAATTACAGTTTATTCACTAATTATTCATCAAAATGGGCAATTATCCAATATAAGCTTACAAATATAAAATTAAAATGTTATAACGGCGAAAGCGAAAAATAACGCGAAGGATAAAGGAAGGTTTAAGGTGTATATATGCAATTATAATAAGGGGCGAGCGTGGTATATTTAGTTGTTTAAGGATTTCCAGCTCGTATTTATAAAAAATAATTATTATGTCAGCCTGTCATCCTGTCATTTTGTCATAACAAGTGACTGACAACTCAAAATGATCTTCAAAGGACTACCGTATAGTCCCGAAAATAAGCACCACGTGATATATATGAATTTATCAGTATATACGTGACTAATAATATAATAAATTCCATGTGACAAATAAATAAATTACTATAAAAGGAGCGTGTCACGGGGTGCTTATTTTCGGGACTATACGGTAACTGCAAATATCGAGACAATTTACATACGAAATTATGGTGTCTCCGGGCGAAATTATATACAATGTAACGTATCATGCAAAAAAATTTTTTTTTTTTTTTAAAAAAAAAATAAAATAAAATGCAACTACCTTATGGTCTCAAGCAAAACCTTAATTGGAGTATTATATAAGCATTTTTTTTTTTTAATAAAATTGCTGAGCATAAGGAAATATTGGAAAAATTACATTGCAAACCAACAATATTAACAGGGATTATTATATTTTGGTACTGAGCCTCGCTAATGATTTTATACCTTCAGTTGTTTCTGACTTTAAGATTAATTGCTAAAGCATCGACAATCTTTTAGGCTGTTTATCCTAGAAATATTTTGAATGTGAACAAATTAACTGAGGAAATATTTTTGATATTTTCAGATTTTAATTATTTAATGAAAGGAAGTACAAGACCTATGACAAATATTTACGCATGTCTACACTTTTATAAATAAAAAAAAATGATTTTCTATGCAATACGAACAGATTTCAAGAGTATTTCTTAGTGTAAAAAAAAAATAGAGAATTCTTCGCAATTATGTAGTTCTTCAGGATAATTTGGTAATCTATATTTTCAGCTATCCATGTGAATTTTAACCAGAAATAAACCATTTTAAAGATAGAATGGATAAATTTATATTTTTACATGCAAATTACGAATAAAATATTATTGTACCATTTATAAGTAATTAAAGGGCTGTATCCAAATTAATATTTAAATTCTATTTAGCATGTACACTCCCCGGTCAAAAGTATTGGACCAAAAAAAAAGTTATCGCAACTTTTAAATTTATGACTAATTTTAAT